TATCTTTAATATATAGTATATTAATATGTACAACTAAAATTACTAATAAAGATATGAGCAAGGCTTCACCTTAACACCAAAAAAAAAAATAAATAAATTATACAACTAAAAATTATTTAAATTATTATATTTAAATAGTGCAGTATTTTGTAAATTTATTGATATATTCATGCATTATCTCAATTTACTATATAAATTCTCTAAAATTTGATATTAAAAAGTTATAATGACTTTCTCTATTTGTATATTAAAATGCTATCAAATATTTATTGCTAGTAGTGTTTTGTGTTAGTCTATATATTTCAAGTTTACTACCTGTTAACCTATTGCTATATTATTTCTAGTCCCAAATATTTTCATATTCGACAGTTTCATTTTTATAAAACAGATTTACTTCATTATAATTTTCACTCATATCTAAACTAGCACCTTAAATTAAATCACTATCTTGGGTTGATTCATAAACATTTTCATTTTCTTGACTTAGATCATATAAACTTTTATTATCTTGAGTTAAATCATAGATACTTTCATTATCTTGCATTAAATTATAGACACTTTTATCATCTTGTCAAATTATAAATATTTTTATTTTTAAATTAAGGTATTTATAACCAATTTTATCCAATAACAAATATACTTACCAAAGTTATCTAAGTCTAAATAATCTTTGTTGTTATGAATTGACTTTAAGTTTGTTAAATCAAAATATTTAAAGCATATTTATTAATTATAAACATACTTACTATCACTATTTGTATCTAAATTATTTTTATAACTTCTACTATTATTCATCTCAAATATATAATTTCTATGTTTGCATTGATTTTCTGAATTTTTCACCCAATTATAATCAAAAATTCTTTCATCCTCTGATTCATCTTGTATAACAAAAATACCACAACATTTGAATGATCGTATGATAAGGTTAATATCAACTTGATTCTATGCTGTATTTACTTAATTAGCTACTAAGCTATATAAAGGGTGCTGAATGCAATCTAAAGGAGTTAGTTGCTGAATTTCATTTGTCATCCATTCATTGTAACATTTGTGATACTAAATAAATTAAATTTTTTAATATTAAAATTTTTTGGTTTTTTTAAAAAGCATTTTTAGGCTTTTTTTGAGAATTTGATTAAAGTTAGAATTTTTAATAAAAGAGTATAAGCAGGGTGGGTTTTAATCTGATTTCATTATGATTAGCAACAAATTAAAATTCATATATACTTTTTTATTAAAAATTTTAATTCTAAATCCTAATCATCATAATCGACTAAAAAAAAAATGTTTTAAAATTCATATTAAATTTTATAATAATAAATAAATACCTTATTTTTAAATGATCTATTAATATAAACATCTAATGGTTGTAATTTACTAGTCAATCCACCTGGAATGACTGCAATATTTGTATTTTTTTTTACAAAATCGACATTTAACTGCATCTTGAATATGACCCAAGAAACTATCTAAAACTAACAATGAGTGAGGATTAACAGACAAAGGTGCACGTTGGTTTCAAACATTTTCTATCTACTAAATTATCTCATTCAAATTCATATATCCTTCAGAATTTGTTCGAATAATAACTTCAGATAAAAATTCTTGCTGTAGTACATTTACTAACTTAAAAATAATTACTGGTGATAGCTTTACTCCATTAGCCATACAACCAAGCACTACAGTAAAATTAGACTTTTCATAACCAGTTGTATAAATTCCAACTGTTTTTGTGCCAGTTATATCAATAGTACAATTTGAAGGCATATTAAATGATAGTGGAACTTCATTCATATTACCTATAAGAGCAAGAGGATAATCATATTGTATGCGTTAATAAAGTACAAAATTTAAGAATTCATTTATTTTTAGTTCAAGATCTTCTTGTAATTTTTGTGCAACTGTAGTTCAACAGTGATTGCTTAGTTTATGACAGTGCATAAAATCATCTAGCCATTTGTCACTCCATTTACATTTATTAATATTTAGATAAATTGAAATAAAGTGCAATTGTTTGGCTAACTGTTGAGCTTTAGTTTTGACTATATAATGAGAAACTAATTTTTGCTTTGTATGTAGAGATTTTATTCAAGAGATTAGATCAGTTTTCAATAATGGATACTTAGCACTTCTTCCAGTATTTAATCATTTAAGATGCGATGGTGAACACATTAATTTATCTTGCTTTTTAATCTATTCACGTAATTGTTTTGGTTCTATGCCAAATTTTTCTGCAGTGTTTCATTTGCTAGCATTGGGGTTTTTTTCTAAATACATAATAATTGCCAATTTTTCTTAGCAATTCCAACTTCTTTTTTTCTTTTTTGTAATATTTGCTTGTTTTAAGCTTGCTTTATATTGTGTCATTTTTAATAATTGTAATAAAAAAAAACATATTATGTTCTTGAGTTCAAACAGGTAAAAAACAAGTTATTAAAAAAAAAATTAAGGTTAGTTACTAGTATAATGAATAACAAATATAATTTTTTAAGCTTTAAAAAAAAAAAAAAAAAGTAAACTGCTTTTAAGCTTTACGAAAGCAAATTATTAAGTTTATATAGTCTAAATGCATTTATTTTATACATAATACCCTGGCTCAACTCTCTCACAAATTTTTGTCAGGGAAAATTTGCAACCAGTACATTATTATCTCAGTAAATTAGTAAGAGAAATATCCTGATTCTTTTATTATGTATAAATCTATATCGGCAAAGTATTTTAATAGCTTTTAAGCATAACTGAGATATTACCTTTTAATAACAACCTGGGTAATTACTACAGCAATTTATAAGTTATTTACAATTTAAAAACACATTTCAACAGCTAAATTTACAATTAGTAAATTTAAAAGTTTAGACTATTAATATGAAAACCTCTGGGTGTTATTATTTTGAATTGTTTATAGAATAAATAAAGAGTAAATGGAATCTTAATCGATTTCGAATGATTGAATTGATTCTAATTATTTTTGTATTTTTGTATTTATTATCGATTTTGCTCATTTTGTGACCTATACATATTGTATGCCTCTATTATGTAATGTTTGGTGATGCTCATTTCCGCCTAAATATCTATATCAGTGTTATTCAATTTTTGAGCTGTATGTAAAGATGGGTTTCATATATGCACATGATTGCAGAAACATGTGCATTAATGCGCATTCATCTGTTTCATGTACATTTTATTCCATCAAGATTTCTCTTCTCTCGATCATTTTTTCTTTTTTTTTGTCTTTTTTATCATGCAATATCATGCGCATGAAACATTTTGTGCGCATTAATGCACATTCATGCACATGTTATTTTAAAATGCACATTTTCTCCATCACTAGCTGTATGTTTACGAAGGGAATGATTTACAATCCTCCTACTAGCATAATTAATACCTGTAATGAAACAAGCTTTCTTCATAAAACTGAAAAACTTATTATAGCCTACATAATGATTTAAAATCAGAAGCTTTTATAAAAGAACAGTTCATTTTTATTTTATTTTTTATATTAAAAGAGAAAGGAAAATTGAATTATCAAATTAATATCATTTCATATAAGCTTAAATGTACAAGCTAATGATGTATTTTTTTCATGTAAGAGGTTAGGGTATTAATTAATAATATCTTGAGTCACTGTGTAATTAGTGGATTGATCTCAGACAGTTATATATTTTTGTTATCACTGTCTGAGATTAATCCACTAATACCCAATGACCCAAGATATTATTATTACTAATCACAGATTATGTATTCATGTAATATATTAACCAGTAACATCATTAAATAGATTATCACTACTACCAGTAATTCGTCTACAAGATTTCTTTATATACTTCCTAAACAATGACCCTGATTATCATACTCCCTGATTATTGTACTCCCCCAACTATTATACCCCTCTCTAAACAATATACCTCCTGGGTATAATTCAAGTTTTTTGATTGGTGAAATGTAACATACCCGGGTTGTTTATATGGCCATTTACAATAGTTATTTCATTATTGTATTATTATTATTAGTAGAAGTTGCCAGAACATTCCAGTTGATTAGTAATCACTTAGTTACTTAGTCACTTAGTTACTTAGTCACTTAATGCTTAGTTACTTAGTTGCTTAATTGCTTAGTTGCTTGGCTGCTTAGCCACTTAGCTTACAGATATATAAACCCTGCTAAATTTCCCAAGTATGATTAAGCAACAGATACTTCTTTTTCTTTTAATATTGTAAACACATCTTGGGATTCTTTAGGAACAGAAACCTAAGAATAGCCCTTCTTGTTATTATTTTAATAAATAGCTTTTGACTATAAACTGTATTGATACTTCTCCTTTAGGATAATTTCTACAGACAAAGTTTATCTTCTCTTAGTGAAATAAAGTAAAGTTATTAGTATTACATTATCTTTTCTAAACTGCCTCAGAGAAGGGTATAGTTTCTTGACAACATCTAACAGAAGCTATACTTCTCTTTTGGACACTGCATATATCTGTAAAGGATTCTCTGTGCCATGTCATCATTATAGTGTGAAAATTAAGAAGGCTTTTACCTATAACAATATAAAGCTTTTTTGTTTTCCTTTAATAATCTGTAACTTTATATAATAAATTAATAAGTTTAGTATCAAAAAATTACTAATAAAATATGAAGAACTAAGTTTATGACAGCCAGACTCAATGTATAGAGCAGGCTATGATATCCTTCATAGCTGTGAGAGCTTGAGCATATAATGATCGAATCTACAAAGGAACCTTTTATTTTCTTGAATTCCATTACATTATCATATTTTAAGGAAACATCACAAAATTTATTATACAATACATTAGTTGATCCAGATTCATGCTATAATAAATGACTAGCCCATCAAGGCCTATTTTTACTTTCATACCTACAAACTCTTTATTTCTTTTTTGAACATATATATCCTTACAACTATATACCATTTAATCTTTATAACTTTATATTAGTAATATCAATTAAACTAGACTACAGTGAGTACTTAATATACTTATCAAATGAACCAAAGCCTTTATCTGACCACTTCATCCCAAATCGATCTAATTACAAATTTTATCAATCAATACCTATTCCTTCAAAATATTCTCTAATACTTAATAATATACAATATACCAAATCTGTTCTTAAAAATAATGCTATAAATTACACTTATATATAAGTAGTAAAAACTATTCTATCTGGTTATAATGATACTGTTATTGCCAATAAACACTTTGGCTCTATACAACTTCATACATGCTATACCAAATTTCTAGTCTATAACTATCTTCTACTACTCCCATATTTACAAACAATTATCTCTTTTTTATGATATATTTATAGTTTTAATTACTTACCAAGTAATACTTGTGGATATATCTTAACTATTTCTATTAAAAATAATTATAGTAAAGCCTATATTTATCTTTCATCTGAATCTAAACCTCTATTTAATCATTTTATTCCACTATTTCAAGCTATTTGGCATTATCCAAACATTTTACTAAAATCAAATACAATAAAAATAATTCTCTCAATTTAACAAACCCATATTCAACAACATTTATATCAAACTTACTGTCTTCTACGCCTTCAATACCACTACAATAACCTTTAACTATTTCTATCTCTACATTACCATCTCCAATATTGCTATCACTTTCAACACAAATCTCTATAACTATGCAAAACTTGCATGACCTTTATTTAAATATTACTATACATAATATTAGAGGATTTAATACAATTACCAAAAAAGATGCTTGGTAAAATTACTGCCTTTATAACAATATTAATATTCCTGTATTA